AGCCCTTCCTCTCCCAGCTGTTGGCAGCTCTGGCCTCAGCTCACTTTTCCTGGAATCTCCTCCTAAAGTTAGCGAGAGCAAAGATAACTCAAAGGGTGTGTCCTCTGCACTGTTTTGCATTGAGAAGGCTTTCAGACCACCTAGTCTGCGGTGATGCTCAAAGAGCTGAAAGGGACCGAGCTTTAAAACAGACCACACATTAGAAACTGGACCCATGGATTCCCAGTAGAGAAAAATGTAATTTCCAGGTAGTCATTGTTGTACTTCCTATTTCACTTTTGGCTTTCTTTTTATTGTTTCTGTTGTTTAGTTTTATTCACTTAGATTTTTGGCTGCTTATTCAAACTCATCATACTCTCATATTCACTTATCCCAGTAAGTAAATCATGCTTGAGTCCTAGCCACTCTTTTTCTGAATTACAGTATTTATTTATTTTCATTAATTCTTCATCACTCATCTTCTATAGATGGTGGTCATAGTTCTTACTATGGTTTATTTTGTAGTGAAATCTTAAATCGCATTCTTCTGATGCAGATACACTCTGCATGTTAAACAGAAAGAAATCTTCTTCACTTCCACGAAGAAATATGCCCTCACATTTTTCATGAAATATGCAAATTTGTCCATTGATCTTCCATTTCCTAATTTTTAAGAGAGACTTGTGTACAAAAACTATTTCATGTTCCTCTTAATACTGCTATGAGAAAACAACAAAACAGGTGTGATGATAAAACACCACTGGTGCTGGTCAGCTTTGTAGAGGAGATAAATTAGGACCAATGGGATCTGGAGGGACTGGAGAGCAGGGACCCTATTTAAATGGGGCAATCATGGCCAGATTCCATCAGTGACCCCCAGCTTGCAGTGTGTGTGGGAAAGAAAATCTTGCCTACTACCCAGAAGGACAGAAAAGTCCAAGGCAGACATGAGTTTGTGTGCACACAGGCTTTAAAGATTTGTAGGGCAGACGGACTTAATCTTTGAGTGTTGGACCTGGAGACCTCCCCGACCAGGTTAGGGTCTCTGATGCAGCTTTGGGTCTCCAAGAACAGAGCAGTGACCCCATATGGCAAATGTTTAGTGGCCCAGGTCCCATACAACCAATGCTTCATCAGCCACTGAGAATCAGGAGGATGAAAACCAAATGTTCCAGGATAACCAACTCTTCTCTCATTGCTTAGGACTGGAGGTGGCAGTGAAATACACATACACACACATACACGTGTGTACATGCACATGCAGGCATACACACCTGCATACACTTGCAGGTGCACAGATACAGACACACGTTACACATATACACAGACCCAGCAGAGCTCCCGTTCCTAATCCTCTCCCCTCCACCACCACTATGTACATGCCCCCTTCACACTCAGAGGTGACCACCTGGCACTCTGCTGATTTGGCCCATTTGAGAATTCAGTTTGGATCCCATAGTGATAGGTAAAATTGGAGTCATTTCCAATGATAAAAAAAAATCCAAAGATTTCCCATGAAAATATGGATTTCTGACTTCCTTCTCAAAAAAACTCCACAAAATACAACCCAGAAGATCTGGCAATATTAGGCCCACATTCCAGCACAGCTGTTTGGCTCAGGGGTGGCTGCCCCTTCCATACCAGCTGAGTTCTCAGACTGCCACAGGCCCCACCACTCCCTATTATCTTACACCAGCTTGGCTCATTATGGTGGGCCTGTGTGCAGAGCTTTGAGGTAAAGGGGAACAGGAAGAGAAGAAGATAGGGGCAGAGGTCAGAAACAGGAATAGGAGGAGAGAGGAAAAGAAGGGTAAGGTGGAATGGATGCCTCAATCTTACAGGAAGGTAGGAAGTGACTTGAGAAGACTTCCTTCATCTGCCTCAAGCATCAGTGAAATCATAATCACCATTTATTGGACAGCAGAGCAGTCTGCTGGGGTTTACATATATTATTTTCTTACAATGTTCCTGCTGAATGGATTCTATTATCCATTTTATAAATAAGGAAACAGACTCAGGAGATAAGTAACTTGAGCCAAGACTTTAATCCAAACCTGTCTGACCCTCAAGGCTTCTCAACACCTTTTTTAAATGTAAAAAATATTTAAAATGGAAACACAGGGCTGGCCTGGTGGCACAGCAGTTAAGTTCGCATGCTCCGCTTCTGTGGCCCGGGGTTTGCCGGTTCGGATCCCAGGTGCAACCCTATGCACCACTTATCAAGCCATGCTGTGGCAGGCATCCCACATATAAAGTAGAGAAAGATGGGCACAGATGTTAGCTCAGGGCCAATCTTCCTCAGCAAAAAAAAAAAAAAAAGAAAGAAAAGAGAGAAAAAAGGAGGATTGGTGGCGGATGTTAGCTCAGGGCTAATCTTCCTCAATAAATAAATAAATAATAAAATGAAAACACAAAGGATAATATAACAAGCACTCATGAGCAAAAGTTAATCTTTTTCGTATTTCTTTTTTTTTCATATTTGTTTCTTTTTAGAAATGAACACACAGAGTGAAAAGGCAACCTACAGAATTGGGAGAAATGTTAGCAAATCAGATATCTGATAAGGGATTAATATCCAGAATATATGAAGAACTCCTACAACTCAACAATAAAGAATCAAGTAACCCAATTAAAAAATGGGTAAAGAACTGCACAGACATTTCTCCAAAGATGATATGCAAATGGCCAAAAAGCATATTAAAAGATGTTCAACATCACTAATCATTAGGGAAATGCAAATCAAAACCACAAGGAGATACTACCTTGCACCATTAGGTTGGCCACTATCAAAAAACCCCAGAAAATAACAAGTGTTGGCAAGGATATGGAAAAATTGGAACCTTTGTGCACTATTGGTGGGAATGTAAAACGATGCAGCTGCTACAGATAACAGTATGGATGTGCCTCAAAAAATTAAAAATAGAACCACCATGTGACCCAGCAATCCTATTTCTGGGTATATATCCGAAAGATCTGAAAGCAAGGTCTTGAAGAGAGCCATGCACATCCATATTCATAGCAGCACTATTTACAATAGCCAAGAGGTAGAAGCAACCCAAATGTCCATCGATGGATTAATGGATAAAGAAAATGTGGTATATATACATACAATGGAAAATTTTTCAGCCTTCAAAGGGGAGGAAATCGTGTCACACATTACAACATGGATAAACCTTGCATACATTGTGTTACGTGAAATAAGCCAGTCACAAAAAGATAATTCCTGTGTGATTCCACCAGAAGTAGCTTGAGTAATCACAATCATAGAGGCAGAAAGCCTACGGGTTGCCAGGAGCTGGGCGGGTGGGGGTACGGAGAGTTACTGTTTAATGGGGACAGAGTTTCAGATTTGTAAGGTGAAAAAGTTCTGGAGATCTGTTGCACACCAGTGTGAATACACTCAATACACCTGAACTGTCCACTTAGAAATGGTTCAGATGGTGTATTTTGTTAGACATTTTTTACCACAATAGGCAAAAAAAAAAAAAAAGAAATTAACCTCACCGGTGCACGTGAAGTCCCTATGTGGCCCAGCCAGGCAGTCTCTCCCCCTCCACCCAGGTCATCGCTACCAGGACCTCTGGCGTTCTTTCCACTTGGAGTACAGATTACAAACGTCCATAAACAACACGCAGCATCTTGTGTGTTTTTAAACAGTCTCACTCCTTATCTGGCATTCTGCTGCTTGCTCTTTCACCGCCATTGTTTTAAGGTTTAGTCCATTCGTATTAATTGCCGTCAAGTATTCTATCCTATAAATATGCCTCAATTTCTTTATTCTTTCCTCTGCTCATGGACATCTGAATTGTTTCCAATTTTGTAAATATTAACAAATAACCCCGCTGAAAATGTTTTTGTACAGGTCTCCATGTGCAAACATAAAGGATTTTCTGTGTGTTCCGTAGAATTAATGCACCACAATAAAGAAACCTCATTGCTTGACTTGCTCAGTGAACTTTACAATTAGTTTTCCTGGACATAAAATAAATCAACTTGTCATGATAGTTCTCAATGTCAATAACCAAAGCCCTGAAGGAAACGGAAAATGTGACCTACACACACCGTGTTGGGGCACTGGGATGCCTGACAGCAAGAATCTGATCTAGCAGCAAACCCGCGCATCTCGCCTCCGCCTTCCCCTGCTCTCTGGGGCCAGCCATTGCCCAGCTCCACCCCAAACCCTCTCCTGCCCGGGAGGTTTGGAGTTTGCATGAGTGCGAGGCACATGGCGTCCAACCACAGGCTGGCACTTTCCAAAGGACAAAACTGCCTTTTTTTCCCAAAGAGTCCTTGCACATTGCATTGAGATCTGCTTTTCCTGTTAAGGATGGCCGTGCTCGAGGCTGCCGATGCCTTTAAGAACCAATGCTGATGGACAGGGCTCTCCAGCCAGTGCACAGAAGGAGGCAGCTCAGCGCCTGGGCCTCCAAAAGGCCTTGACTGTCTGTTGTCGAGGGAGAAAAGCAAGCTACAAAACACGCTGTAGACTGCCAGCTCACTTCTTGTTTTGGGTTTTTTAAGTCTGTTATAAAAAGAGAGGCGCGGGAAATGCCTGGCAGACCACGTCCACACCCCTGAGGAGTAGATTACGAACGTAAGGGTGGTGAGGAGGTGGGAATCGGTGGCTCTGGGCTTCATTTAATTGTGTACTTTCTCTTGAATAAGCGCGTTACTCTTATGCAGTAAGGAACGTTTACCGAATGCAGGCGCCAGTCCTTCCGGCCCGACTGTGGAGCTCAAAGGAGCAGAAGTGATTTTTAAAAAATTCTCTTATAAGTAGTTATCAACAAAAATTATTGTACTTCAAAAAATTCATCATATCTTTAACATTGGCCAGCAAGCACTTACTGAATAAGAGTTAGAATGAGAAGCTCTTTTTGGGAACAACATGTGATGTGTCTAAACCACCAGCTAACTAACTAAGGAAGGACCCCAAGTGTCCCTCAGTATAAAATAAAACAATTTAAGACTCAGGCGACCCATCTGTGAGACTGGCTGTTAAGATATTCTCCTCACTGCAGAAAGAGACACCGTGGATTCATCCCTGTCACCTCACTGAGACGGACAGAAGGACAGGAAATTGTCAACTCAGAAAACCCAACTGGCAGTTGGGGGATGGGGAAGAAGTAAGCAGTGTGTGGTAATTGTGGCCCGAGCCCTCAGCCCAGCACTTGAGGTCCTCCCCAGTGCAGGCTTTCCTCCTCGCAGCCTCCTCTCTGCCCCTCTCACCTCTGCCCCCACCCCTGCCACCGCATCCTGTGGGTCCTGCCCCCTCACTGGGCTCCCTACCTCTTCCAATCCCCCCTCCTCGGGCGCCAGCCGTCCTGCATCAGGCAGCTTTGTCGAGGCCTCCCCTCCCCGCCCAAGGCAAGGAGCCCAGCGCTGCAGCAGGGGTCGCAAACTCCTCTGCCCTCAGGCTCCTGCATGCCCCTCCAGCATCATCCCATGACCCCCCACCTGGGACACCCACCTCACCACGTCAGCTCTGCCCCAGGCACTGTCCCACTTGCCCTCCTCCTGGAAGTTCCCCCCACACACTCCGACCCCTGTCCCCGACTCTGGTGAATTCTGTATTTTTTTAATACATAGGCCTTAAGACTCAAATTCCACCTTCACCACTTAAAACATCTACTATTAATAATATGTGAGACTTTGTTATATTATTAGCTCATTTAATTCTCACAACAAACCTAAGCATTAGGTACTATTGTTGTTGCCATTTTACAGATGAGGAAACTGAGGCTCAGGAAGCTTAAGACCAAGACCCTGACCCAGGTCTCTGTTACTTCGAGTCCTGGGCTCTTATCCGCTCAGGGACGTGAGAATCATCTGTGGACATGTGTGTCCTCTGCATGGAAACGTGAGATTCCCGAGGGAGAGACTGTGTCTCATTTGCCCTTATGTTCTAGGGTCAAGCACAGGGCCTGGTGCTCAAGCACAAGGCGGGGAGGGAGAGGAGGGGCAAGGAGGGCGAGGGTCTGGGGGGGTCGTCAGGGAGGGCTGGGCTCTGGCGTCTCTGAGCATGCATTTTTTCGTTCATCCGCCAAATGCTTCTTGAGCACCTGCTCTGTGCTGGACGCAGCTCTAGATGCACCGACCAAGCCAAGTCCCTGCCTGCTGAGCACACCTTCTGGCAGTGAAGACAAAAAAGAAAACCACGAGGGGCGAGATACAGTGTCCACCACAAGTGCCAGGAAGAACGCACGTGGCCGTTGCGGGATGCGGGGTGCGCCTTCCCTCTGGATGGGCGTCAGGACAGGAGGCTGCTGTGCGGAGCGGAGGCTGTGGGCTGCCGGCTGGCAGCGGGGTCCCAGTTAGGAGCTGCTGCGGCAACCCTAGGGAGATGGCAGGGCTCAGAGCAAGGAGGGAGGGGGTTTAGTGAGAAGTGGTGGGATTTGAGATATGTTTTGAAAGTAACACAGCAAAAGGGACCTAAAAACGAACTTGGCCTGGTTCTTCACCATCACACACTCCTAGGGGAAAAAAAGATTTCTTTTTCATTTAATAATGTCTTTGATGAAGCCATTACAATTATCAATTATATTAAATCTTGGCCTTTGAGTACATGCTTTTTAAAATATTCTGCCTGATGAAATAGGAAGTCAGCATGCAACATTTCTCCTGCAAACCTGAGGACCATGGTTATCGCAAGGAAAAGCACTTCATGGTTGAGTTACCAGCCAAACTAGCCCCTGTGTGTATTATGGAGCATCATTTTTACTTGGAAGAATAACTTGCTGACTGTGGTAATTCAGACTTGAGTGTTTGGCAGACATTTTCTTGAAAATAAAAGAAGGGAGCCTGTCCCTTCAAGGAAAACTGCTGAAATATTTGTTGGCAATCATAAAATTTGAGCTTTCGAGTGGAAAATTAGCAATTGGAAAACTTGTATCGAGCACTGTGAGCTTGACAGCTTCCCAACACTTGAATACTTTTCTGATGACATTGGTGGTGATATTAACGAACATGATTTTTAAATCTTATATAACGAAAACACTTGGAAACTCTGCTAAAAGCAAAAAAAGAATATTTTCCAAATGACCAAAACATGGTGTTACAAAATCATGGATGGGTGAAAGATCCATGCAAAGAGCAATCCATTTATGTTTAAATGTATTGAAATATAACAAAGTACAGAAAATTCATCGTTACAGTTTCAGATTCCACACTGCAACTAACCTTTAAGGGAAAACTATCAATTGTTAAGTTTTGGTATAGTATCAAAGAAGGATGCCTACAATTATCTAAAAAGGCCATTACAATATCCTACTTTTTCCAACTGCTTATCTGTGGGAGGTCAAATTTTCTTCATCTACTTCAACAAAAATAACATTGCAACAGCTTGAACACAAGCAGATATGAGAATTCAGCTGTCTCCTATTAAGCCAGATATTTAAAGAGATTTACAAAAATGTACAATAAAGCCACTCTTCTCCCAAATGTGTTTGTTCTGGAAAATATAGTTATTTTTCACAAAAATGTGTTATGTCAACATGTAATTGGTTTATTATTTTTTGAAGAATTAACATTTAAATAATAGTTTTAAATCTTCTGTTTTAATTTCTAATAGTAGTTTAATTTTGATAGGTAGACTCTACATAAACAAAAGCTCTTCGGAGTCCCCAGTAATTTTGATAGAGTAAAAGGGTTTTGAGGCCAAGAAGTTTGAGAACCACTGGTTTACAATGATAATAATCTGTGCTTAGATCTTTTATCTGCATGCCCCACTAGCAGACTGACCTCAGGGCCTTTGCACTTGCTCCCATTGATTACCTCATTCATCATGTCCAGTACTGGTGATAAAGGAGTGTTTGGAGGAGCACTATTCATCACCTCCTCTTCTCTGACATGAGCAATTGTCATTTTCTCTAACATGAATACCGTCCCAAATCATCTGTCTATGGAAAATCTGGAGGGCCAATGTTCAGGTCTTAGTTCAAATGTCACTTCCTCAGGGAAACTTTGCCTGAACCTCCCGTCCCCAACTCCACCCTGTAGATCAGAAGTAGGCTCTCATAGCACCCCGTGTCCTCCCCCATGGCACCTGACACCAGGGGATGGTAGAGGTACTTTTGAGAGTATTCGTTTCCTTGTGGCCTTCCCATTCAAAGCTCCATGAGGCTGTTTCCTTGTCTCTTTTGTTCGCTGCTCGTTCCTCAATTTCTAGGACATTTGTTCAAGGAAGGAATAACGAAGATGTGTGTCCAGCTGAAGCTGTGGGCTGCAGGCTTCGCAGCTGTGCCTGTGGGCATGCAGCGTGGCGCATGCCTGACACTTTGCGTGATTTGTGAGGATTTACTTTTTAAAAAATTAAACCAGATGTAATTTCATTATAGAATTTACTTTCCAGAGCATTTATTTAAAAAGATATTGCTGTGTTAAGGAGAGAAACAGAAAGAAGTGGGGCGTGCCTTGAATCAGCACAGTCTCCGTCTCACCCCCTCTTTTGCTCCAGACGGTGATCCACTGAAGGGGAGAGTGGAAGGACCAAGAGAAGGAACTAGGCCACCTCTTCCTGCACCTCCTCTCACTCCGTCCCTCCAGGTAGCAGGCAGGATGCAAATAAGGATTTTTGTCTTACGTGGATTGGGAAAATGTGCAAGTCCGAGAGGCCCAGTGTGGATTCAGTAGCAGACCCAGGAAATCAGTTTTCCTGATAAGGACAGTAGGAAACGATCGTCAAAATATGAATTGATTAAGGCACGTCCCCTCGGGGCCTATTTTGGCAGTAACGATAATTAAGCATAAGTTTTAAAGGTTAGTTTAAACCAGCTCATGAGACAAATGGCAACAGTGACATCATCTTGGCCCTCTGTATCCATGGTAACTGGATTTCTGAGCCATGATTAAACATAAAGCTAGAGCTAGTGCATTAGTCCCAGCATCAGGCCCAAATAAATACACGAGAAAGTAGGCAAACTTTCCACATCCTCTTGGGATGTTCCGGCCGTTTCCTGGGAAAACAAGCCATAGAACCTGCTCTGAAAACTGCCGGCTAGTGAAGCCGGGCCATGGCCCCGCCCTCCTCTGGGGCCTTGAGTGACAGGAAGATGGACCCCCAAATCAAGTGCTTTTCAGTCATGTGTTGGTCTTAAGCTGGAGAGCAATAGCATAGAAGGTGATTACTTGGGCATTTGAATTATCCTTTAAAAAAAAAACAACTGTTTTTTCCCAATAATAAAATAAGGATTAAAAAAGAAACTAATATATATCCATTGTAAAAAATTTCTAAAATTCAGGCAAATGTCAAGAAAAGAAAAAGTACCTAGAATCTCAGGGTGTTTCTTTCCCATCTTTTTTCTGTATATGTGTTTATTTCATAAAGTTAGAATTAATAACATGTTATGATCTTTTCCATATCATTATTCATCAAAATATTTTAAATATGTTAGTATCTTAACAATAGCATAAAGTTATATCATATACAGGGGCCATCCCCATGACCGAGTGGTTAAGTTTGCGCACTCCACTTCGGCGGCCCAGGGTTTCGCCGGTTTGGATCCTGGGCGCGGACATGGCACCGCTCATCAGGCCACGCTGAGGTGGCGTCCCACATGCCACAACCAGAAGAACCCACAAGTAAAATATACAACTATGTACCGGGGGGCTTTGGGAAGAAGAAGAAGAAGAAAAGAAGACTGGTAACAGATGTTAGCTCAGGTGCCAATCTTTAAAAAAATATATATATAAATGTACTATAAATTATTTTAATACTTTACCTCATCTATTCCTAATTGTAAGATTAATTAAAGTGTAATTTCTACACCGTACATTTTTACAGCCTCTTAGCCTGTCCTGCGTAGGCAGTCTTGCCCCTCACTTTAGGTTATGGGGTTCTTGGCTTATGTTGCCTTGATCTCACCCGACTTTGGTGCCTCTGCTGAAGCTGAAATGAGAGTCTCATTCTAGCATCCTGTTACATATATAAAGACAAACTGCAGGGGCCGGCCCGTGGTGCAGCGGTTAAGTTCACGTGCTCTGCTTCGGCATCCTGAGGTCTGCCAGTTTGGATCCTGGGTGCAGACGCGGCACCGCTTGGCAAAAGCCATGCTGTGGTAGGCGTCCCACATGTAAAGTAGAGGAAGATGGGCATGGATGTTAGCTCAGGGCCAGTCTTCCTCAGCAAAAAGAGGAGGATTGGCAGTAGTTAGCTCAGGGCTAATCTTCCTCAAAAAGAAAAAAAGACAAACTGCAGCAATAACTAAGGGAAACCAACAGGAGTAAAACAGTGCTGGCAGATTCTCCTCGCTGATTTCAGTCTTTGTGGGGCTAGGTAGGGGGGAAAAAGTAAGAATGTTAAAGATAACAATAATATAATTAATATTATAATTATTTAAATAATTAGAGTATTTTAATATTATGTAAAGATTATATATTAATAATATATTTATTAATAAACTGAAAGAATAATATAATTAACAATAAACTCAATATTCTAAACTCTCTTTTGAAAAGGGTAGACTTCTTTTCAAGCATGAATAGAAGAAGTTATAAAAATGAACCCAGGGGCCGGCCCCGTGGCCGAGTGGTTAAGTTCGCATGCTCCCCTTTGGTGGCCCAGGGTTTCCCTGGTTCAGATCCTGGGTGCAGACCTTGCACGGCTTGTTAGGCCAGGCTGAGGTGGCATCCCACGTGCCACAATTAGAAGGATCCACAACTAAAAAATATGCAACTATGTACTGGGGGGATTCGGGAAAAACAAAAAAAAAGAAGATTGGCAACTGTCGTTAGGTCAGATGCCAATCTTTCAAAAAAAACAAAAAATGAAGCCAAAGGAAAACCCACTATACATAACAAGTTAGAAATAGTACAAGTCACATTCTCTGGTCAGAACACCATAAACCTAGAAATAAACTATCAAGTAGAAGCGAAACGTCGACCCTTTGAGAATGTCCAGACGTGCTATCAAACTACTGTGGGACAAAAAATAAATTTGTAAACTATGTGGGAAATAATACTGATGAAAACACTACATATCAAAATGAACAGAGCTAGAGCTGCACTCAGAGGAAAATGCCTGCTCTTACAACGCTCTTTCCTGGATGAGAAAGAGAAACAAAACACAGCCGTCAACCCAGTTTACCCAGGAAGCGGGGCTGGGGAGCATGGTTTTCCTTTGGGAGCTCCCCATTTCTCCCCAACACCCCACCCTCAGCCCCTGGCAACCACTAATCTGCTTTCTGTCTCTCTGGATTGTTCTGTTCCGGACATTTCATATAAAGGGAATCCTGCAATATGTGGAGAGGGAGAATGGAGAATGCTTAATGGATTTGCGGCTGATGACAAAGTTCTGGAACTAGATGGTTGCACAACATTGTGAATCTATTGAACACCACTGAACTGGACTCTTTAAAATGGTTTAAATGGCCAATTTGGTTGTGTACTTTACCATAATAATAGAAAAAAATCTGAACTAAGGGAAACTAGTATTTGTGAAGTCATTGGACAGGATCGTATCTAACTTGAGAATGAGTCATGAATATTTAAGTGAATTATTTGTTGTCACATTATATTAAGAGAAACAAACACTACCAGCAAATTATCACCCAAAACAAATATTTAAGCTTATTTAATTAAAACAAGGAGTTTAGGCATTTTGTTTCTTCAACAGCAAGGTGTAATCATCTTAACAAAACAAGCATATGGAGTTAAAAATGTTTTTGCTGTAAATATGAAATGTGCTTTTGTCGCATCTTAATAGACTATGCCACCTGAGCGAACATGAAACGCTTTGAATGTCAGGTTATGAGGCTGCCTTCATCTTGTTCTCGCTGTTTACTTACAGGCTAGGAAAGAAAGATAATCCTCCAGCTTTTTCAAGTCCCTCGAGATTTCTCCCCTCAGCAGCGTTAAGCTACGTGACAGAACAAGCTGCTGCTTCAGTAGCTGCTGCTTCAGTCCCTCACCCGCAGGACGGCCTGGGTCAGTCAGTGGACGGGCGCGAGTCATCTCCCCCGGAGGCACTCTGATCCTGGAGCCACTAACGCTCAAGGAGATGGCCTCAAATTCTAGAGCAAAGTCAAGGGGTCTATCACGGTTGTGCTAAACATCCTTCTGTTTCCATGTAAGGAAATAGTATGGTCAGTGTCTGAGTGGTTTGTGAGTTTTAGAAATAAAATTACTCAGGAATGCTGCAACCAAGCATTTGTGCAGTGGTTTGTGACCTCGGCTGCACATTAGAAGCATCTGGGGGCTTTAAAAACCTCCACGCCCTGGTCCCACCCAGAACAGCTGAATCAGATGCTGGGTGTGGGACTCAGGCATCAGCTTCAATCACTGGTTAAAGTTCCCCAGGTGAGTCCAGTGTGCGGGATGTCGTGGCGGAGAAGGCTGACAATCAAGAAGTTCGAAACATCTTCCAGCCTCCAGCATTGAAGCTACTCAGTGTTGCCGGAATAAACCTGTAGGAGAGATGGAAGTCCTGCTCCCAAAGGAACCCCTCAGA